GCCGACACACCCCCGCAGCCGGCGAGACATGCTAACGCTATGGAGGCTGAGCGAGCAAACGGTAACGAGCTCCACCACCTCGACGGGGCTGCCTCCTCTCTTTCTTGGTGGAGAAAAGGCAATAAAACCAAAGCGGCGCCTGGCTGCATTTCCCTGCTTGAAATCATGGGGAAGACTCGGTCCCCGCTGGCTGGGAGGGTGGCTGCTGGCTGGGCACGGGACATAGTTTTGGCCAGGAAGCCCCACTGCAGTCCTCTCTCTTGCTCCATAGGTGCACCAGTACTACAGCTGCCTGCCTGAGGACAAGGTCCCCTACGTCAACAGCCCGGGAGAGAAATCTCGCATAAAGCAGCTTCTGCACCAGCTACCACCGCACGACAATGAGGTCGGTATCCAGAAATGTCCTCGGACATCGGTCAGGACTGCGGGTGGGGAGGGGGCACACCCCTGGGGTGATTTGTGGGAACATGGCTGGTGCTTTCTCAACCCTTTCTGCTTTTCAAGGGGGTTTACTTGGAGTTTGGTCATGTTATTTAAGTGCTATAATTGCTTCCTGCTTTGATTGTGTCAGAGGTGGGGAGGGAGTTGTTTGTGTCTAAAGTTAATTTTTTTTTAAATCATCCTTCTTCAGTTCTCTGAAATAAAAGCATTTTCTCAGCCCTCGGAGGCCAAAGCCACATTAAAAGTGGCTTGAAATGCTGTTGAGATCGGCTGGAGCCAGATTCGAAGTTGCAAAAGCCTTTTCCCAAGTGCTGCTTCCGACTCATCTTTGGAGATGGAGTGTGTGTGCGCCAAGGAGGGGTTTCACTGGGGCAGAGCCTGGCAATCTGGAGGTTGAGCCAAGATCAGTCAGAGCAAATAAACCTCCTTCCGTCTGGCAGGAAGGATGTGAGGCAGCAAAAAGGGTCCAGGCTTTGACGCCCTGTTCTCACCAGTGAGAACATTGGTTTCTGGTAGCCCGCAAAATTTCCCTGTGTAAACAAAAGAAGCGATTTTCACGCTGCTTTCTGAAGGAAGCCGCTCTGGAAAATAGGTGTAGGTAACTTGTTTGATCTAGGTCAGATTTTAACGAGTTTGCCTGCGCGTGGCGGGGTGCCACGGGCACCACACGGTGCTGCCAGCACCGGGGGAGCTCCGGGCACCGGGCAGGGGCTTCTTCCCGTGCACCCTCGGGCCCTGACCTGCCCGCCTGCCTTCCCTGGCAGCCGCTGAAAACCCACAGCCTCTGACAGCTGAAAACCGTAAGAATAAATACACAAAAACGCTGCTACTGCAGCCCATGCTGCCGCAAGCTGGAGGCACGAGTCTGCATGTATTTTCTGCAGACTGGCAGGTTTTGCATCCAATTCCCCTCATGCTCGGTTTTGCTCCTTTGAAAATGCAAGGTGTGTTGGTTGCTCATGTGAATAATCCTGCTTGAGTCCGTGAACCTGCTCTCCTAAGTAACAAAGGCTGCTTTGGGCACTGGTGCTACACGTGGCCACCTTGGCTCTTCAGTCGTATTCTCTGTTGAGATGCAACCAGCCAAGAGTTAAGCCTACGGGATTAAAATAGCCAGGAAAACCTCAGTTTCGCAAGCTTTGGGGAAATTGTATCGTTCATTGTTCATATCCTTTTATTTTTCTAATTTCCTTATTACTTTCCGACAAAGAGGTTTTGCAAATGTGCAAACTTGACCCTATACTGGAAGAGTAGTTGGAGTTCCCCAATAGCTAGAACTCCATCATTTACACAGGGGAAATGGGCTGCACTCTTAAAATGCCAATAAAATTTAGAAGCTGCTGTGAGACCTCTGTCATAGGGAGAAAGCAGGAAAACCATCAGTGCGATTGCTGGGCCTGGGTGGGACTCCGAGGACCCAACTTATAAGACTTCCCTACAAACCTAGCACCCAGAGAGCAACCTTCCTCCTGCCCTTTCTTATCTCTACCTCTTGAAATTTGGGCCAAACCCCAGGATGACTGAAGCCCAGAGAGCTGTGTTTCTCCAGCCTGCCCCATGCCAAGGATGGGGTCCATTTGTGGACCCTGTTTGCAGAGCCATGGGACTGCAGCTTGCTGGCCAGAAAGCCAGGGACACCCCTCACACTGAGCATCGCTTGTCCTTTTCAGGTCCGCTATTGCAATTCGTTGGATGAGGAGGAGAAGAGGGAGCTCAAACTCTTCAGCAATCAAAGGAAGAGGGAAAATTTAGGGAGAGGCAATGTCCGACCATTCCCCGTAACCATGACGGGAGCCATCTGTGAGCAGGTGGGTAACAGCTGATGAATTGGTGTAAGCAGCATAGCTTTTTAATCACCAAAGTTAAGCAAAGCTCACAGGAGCAGCATCCACCCCATGCCCCCTGCCAACTACCAGTGCTGGGGTTGTTGGCGTGCATGCCAGGAGCACCCCGCAATATTTGATGTGGAGCAGCCACTCCAGCTCTTGGCCTTATGCAGGGGGGAGCTGTTGATATCCTGGACTTAAAATGGGGATGAAAAGAGGTTAAGAGACAGCAGCAAGGAGCTGTGAATTAGCACCTTCTCTCACTGTGGTGTTCAAAGCGGCTGGTTGGCGATGGGGGGCAGCGGGATCACCCCCATTAAACACCAGCTTTTGTGACAGTGCGGCGGCCAAATCAACGGAGGGGACATGGCCGTCTTCGCCTCGCGAGCAGGACACGGCGTTTGCTGGCACCCTCCCTGCTTCATCTGCAGTGTCTGCAATGAGCTGCTGGTCGATCTGATCTACTTCTACCAGGACGGGAAGATCTACTGCGGCCGGCACCACGCTGAGTGCCTCAAGCCCCGCTGCGCAGCCTGCGACGAGGTGAGAGCCAGCAAACCCTTTGCCAAGGGGTTTGTTTTTCCTGGGGTTTTGGGTTAGCACCTCGGGGATTTGTAGTTGTGATCTGCCCAGGGCTGTTCTGAGCAAGGTCCTTGTGTATGCACAAGGAGCTGGGGGTCCTTTCCACCAGCATTTCCAGTGACTCTGGGATTTTAGCCCCGCAGCATGTGGTGAGCCTCCCTTCTCTGTCTCCCCAGGAGACACCCGTGGTGGGATGAGTGCTGTGTTTCCTACAAAACAGCAGTGTTTGAGTACACACTGAGCCCAAATAGGCTTTAAGAGAGGAGATTACCGGGCTATAGGAAGCTGAACAAATGGAATACAAAACGAATATAGAAAACCCTGCAGAGTTGCCTCTGAGCGTTTCTCAAGTGTCAGTCTCTGTTTAAAAGGCTGGTGAAGGAAATTGTTCTGGCTTTTAAAGTTATGAAAACCGTAGTGTGGAAAACCATATGTACTATAAAATACCGCGTCCCATCTCTGCAAGCATGTAATAGTAAATATCCAAGGCTATATGCACTTCAAATATAAAGAACATTGACGTATGTATCTAATTAAATTTGTAACGTTACCAGTAAAAAAACAACTCCTAACCATTCGACTGGCCCTATTTCCTTGCGGCTTAGGCTGGGTAATTTTTTTTTCATGTACTTTTTATCCTTGCAAATTCTCATACAAGTCTTTCATTCAGCTCCTTCTTTAACACACATTTCTTCCTTTGAAACATCCGGCACTAACTGTGAGAAAGAGGAACTCAGGGGTAAGAGGAACTGCAGGGGAAAAGCTTTTGGTGTGAGCTGTGCTGGGGCAGAGAGCAGGGAGCAGAGATAGGTCACTGCTCGCTCCACTGGCTTGGTTTTGGGAGCAGAGACAACAAGAAAGCATCTGCTGAAATCACTTCAGATGGCCGCTTCATCAGCCCACTCTTAACAGCTCTCCATGCCTCAGTTTGCCCACTGGTATAATGACTGCAATCATCTTTATAAGCACATGGGCTAGGGTAGAGGCGATGGTGAGGAGCCAGAAGGCTCCGTCTCCTCTCCCCTCCAGAGAACTGCTGCCTCTCCTTGTGTTTTCGCTCACCCTTGGTATTCAGGTCTCTGTTTCACAGACGGGCAGATGTTTTTCAGTAAGTGGCTGCTCTGTTCTTCAGAAACCCACCAGATCGATCGGTTGTATATAAGCGTGTTTATTATCCTGATCGACCCCTCCTGCTGATGGATGTGCTTACAAGCTCTGCCTTAACGCTTTGCAGTCCATGCACTAACATGGTCCTGAGGTATTTGCATTTTAATGGATTTCCTTGAGAAGCCAGGGGTGCCTCTGCCACAAGCCAAACCACATGCGTTTCCCGTGCAGGATGAGAGGGTTAGCTGTAAAATTTGGAGGTTGTGTGAGCAAAGGGGCTCGGCTGCCGTACACAGGGGGAGACAGGAAGGTCAGTGCCCAGGTCCTAGGTCCCCTCTCTGACTGACTCTGCTCCATGTTTATGTTTCTCCCCCACAGATCATTTTTGCCGACGAATGCACCGAGGCCGAAGGGCGGCACTGGCACATGAAGCACTTCTGCTGCTTCGAATGCGAGACAGTGCTGGGGGGGCAGAGGTACATCATGAAGGATGGCAGACCCTACTGCTGCGGCTGCTTCGAGTCCCTCTACGCCGAGTACTGCGACACCTGCGCCCAGCACATCGGTACGTGCCCCTGCCCTCGGGCGAGCACGATACAGGGAGGGAAAACGGGACCAACCTCTGCTTGGTGGGTTGCTTCTGGCAACAAGAGTTGTTGCATTAAGACTTGGATGTTGACTCGGGGCCGCAGGTGGGACTGCCTGTGGCTGGGGTCTGCCACAGCCCTGCTGCATCTCGCCGAGGGGTTAGCATGGTAATTTGTCTGGTTAAAGCACTGCTTATCCCTCTTCGTGGCTGGAGAGGGGAGGACTATCAGAGAGCCACCTCAGGAGCTGTTGCAAGTAGTGAAAGCTTTCACTGGCCTAATATTATACACACTTTTTTTCCTTTAAGTCTCCTTTGCCTGCAAACAGCCTGGCTCTTCGACTCTCACATTTTTCCCTGCCAAGCTTGCTAAGGGATCACATGAGTTAACAAGCTACTGACAGGAAAGATGCTTGTTCATTAGGCATCATTATTGTTTCTGTTCGTCTTTTTTAATCAACCCACAGAGAAATATTCTCAAACAGAAAGAAATAACCCATCGGAGTCAGTCTGAAGAGTGATTTATAGAGCAGTGATTGAACACGTAGGTTATCCTGGGGGGTTAGCTGTCCCCCCAGTCACTGGGGGGTGGTGAGTCAGGGTGGGAAGCCACCTCGCTGCTCTCCCCACTCCTGTTTGCCCCTTGGCTGAGCATTTGCTTGCGGGTGGGCGGGCAGCCCTTTCTTTGTCCGTGGAGGTAAGCTCACGTGTTCCAATAATTCATAGGCTGCAGGGGAAGGGAAAAAACCCAACTGTTTTGCTCCTGTGCAGCGGCCAGATGGCACAGGGAGGAAGACTCAGGGCTTCAGCAAAGCACTTGGAGGACATATCTGCTGTGACCTGCAGCACATCCTTCCCCAAAGCTCAGCTGCAGAGCGGTGAAGCAGCAGCTGTTCCTGCATCTCGCACGCTCCCTTCTCTCCTGCTTCCCCCATCTGCCATCCTCCCCTCTGTCCATCCGTCCGCAGCCTGCTGACTGTCAAGTTTTCAGGGCAAAATACCTGTTTTGGTGCGTATCTGCACGTTTCTAGCCAAGGAGGGACTGCAGCCATTTTGCTGCAAGTTGCTGATAGTAGTCACTGAGTGTCGTGCATAAGAGCCACATAAATCAGAGGTAAATGCAGGCTTAAGACTTGCAAGGCTTGGGTTGGATAGCAGAGGATGGAGTAAGGAGACCGTGCTCTTCCTCTGCAAGGTGGCTTCGGGGAATTGGAAACGGAGCTGATAAAATCCTACCCACTGTCTTGTCTCATTTGTCCACAATCATAGCACTCCAGTCTATATATAAAAACATTCCGCTCATTATAAGGGAAGAAGAAAAGTACCCAATTACACTAAAGGAAGTTTAGCTTGGAATAAGATGGCCCGTTAAGGTACTGTTCAACTGTAAGTTACCCGGCAGCAGTCGTTCCCCCCAGTGACTCGGGCCAGCACGTGCAGCGCACACGTGCGGTGCAGCACCCCGCTGTGTGCGGCAGTTTCTCGGGTAACGGGGGCTTTTGCCATGAATGACAGCTCAAACAGGCGAATAAATGTTAGATTTGAAACCTCGGGAGCTTTGCTCACGGCTCTGCCCAAAAGCGATGTGAATGCAGCAGGCACAGGCTCCCACGGCTCTGGCTGGTGCCTGTGAGCAGCCCCAGGTTTTGCTGGTAGAGGTCTGGCTCTCTGCATCCAATTCCTTTACTTAACCCAAGGGGCAACTCGGGAAACGTGGCTGGGTGCAAGACAAGGGGGTGTGCTCAGAGCCCTGGGGCCGGCTCTTTCTGCTCTCTTCTGGAGAAGAGGCCCCAGTAGCCAAAATCAAGTTAGGTTGAGGCCGCAGTAGCAACGAGAGACAGGGATGTGATCAGCTCTGTTACGTACTGACCTAAGGCAGCACAAATTCCTCATTATGGTTTGGTTGGAGGCTTTTTGTGTTTTGCTTTGTTTTTTTTTTTAAATAGGCAGTGTATTATTGCTTTGACTTCAAGGGCTTTATGGAGAACTTCTTGCATTCCTTTGTTTTATGATCGGAAATATCCCCATTTAATATGAAATAGCTTGAGGCTCGGTTCTGCTGCCTTTCCCAGCATTGAGCAACTCCTAAGCAAAGGCCTTGCAGCCTGCAAGGAATTACAAATGGGCTTAACTTCATGCACTGGAGAAACCCTGCTGAAGGGCTTCCGAGGCCAGCCTGGGTGCGTGTCACTCATAGGGGGTGCATGTGTTGAGTGCAGAGCAAAGCGATGTACGTGGGCTGACTCTTGGTGTGCGTCTTCCCCTCAAGGTATCGACCAGGGCCAGATGACGTATGACGGTCAGCACTGGCACGCCACCGAGACCTGCTTCTGCTGCGCGCAGTGCAAGAAGTCCCTGCTGGGACGGCCCTTCCTGCCCAAGCAGGGGCAGATCTTCTGCTCCAGGGCTTGCAGCGTCGGCGACGACCCCAACGGCTCTGACTCCTCTGACTCGGCTTTCCAGAGCGCGCGTGCCAAGGAGTCGCGCCGCAGCGCCAAGATCGGCAAGAACAAGGGGAAAGGCGAGGAGGGGGCGCGCAGCCCCTGCAACCAGCTGCAGGTCACCTCCAACCGCCTCTCCACCGACGTGGACCCGCTCTCGCTGAAGATGGATTTGCTGAGCCTGGCCAGCCAGACGCCCAGCCTCAACAGGGAGCACGTGTGGAGGAGCCGGGATGAGCTCTATCACTACGGGAGCAAAATGGAGCAAAGTCAGTCCCAAAGCCCTTTGCAGCTTCTCAGCCAGTGCAACATAAGGACCTCCTATAACCCCAGCCAGGTCCCGGGCTCGCAGCCAGATTTATGGGCGAAACATTTCAGCAACCCAAAGAGGAGCTCCTCGCTGGCGATGAAGAGCCATGGCGGCAGCTTCATCCAGGACTGCAGAGAGGACTACTACTCGGGGAGGCTCCGCTCACAGGAGAGCTACAGCGACATGTCCAATCAGAGCTTCCCTGAGAGCAGAGGAAACCTCAAAGTCCCCAAGTACGAAGAGGAAGAAGAGGGAGGGATGCCGACGCCACAGTGCCGCACCCGGCACCCCATCAACGCACTCAAGTTCACCGAGGACCTGACACCCACCGAGCAGACTCCCCGCGGCTCCATGGAGTCCCTCGCGCTCTCCAACGCAACAGGTAATGTCACCCCTGCTCCTGTCACCCCAGGACCTCCCCTGTGCCATGGGGTCCCTTGTACTCCACGTCAGCACCACGGCAGTGTCTTCCCATTATGAGGGTGGCTGGGATGCACTGGATGCCACAGGCTTGCCTGTCCTGCCCCAGTGTGCCTGGTAGCCCTCTCTCACTCTGCCTGCTTGGTTACCAAATGCAGGGCTTTTACAAATCCTCCCTTTTGTGAAAAGGGGGGAAAAATCAAGGCCAGCTGCTAGCACAGAGACGGATTCCAGCCCTCAGCACTTGAAGGACTGGTGTCAGCTGCCCTTAGGGGCTAAAAATACTTGTGAATGCTTTGAAAGAGGCCTAGTTAAGCACTTTTGCACGTTATACAGTTATTGAGCACATGACAAGTTAAAAGAAATTCCTCCCTCTCTATGCATGGCTCTTGTTCTCCTCTTCCTCAGTCCTCTGGTAGAACCTGCAGGTAAAAACCAAGTGAGATGCTTGTCCCATCAGGCTGAGCCTGTTTCTTCTGAGCGCATCCCAGGGTTATATTTCTCAGCCCTCTCACCCCAAACGTGTTTGGGTTTCATGTTGTGGCTGCGGGAATGCAGCTGCAAGCACAGACGTGTGTGCAGCGGGGCTCTGATCCACAGCCCGGTGCTGGGGAGACACAGATCCCTGGGCACCCCGGCCTTCTACACCCCACGGTGGTTTGCATTATCGGGTGACTGCGCTCATCTAGCACAGCTGTCACTTGCTTCCCAGTCCCTCGGCAGAAAAGTCCTTGGAAAAGGAAATGCTGAGCCTGGTTTTCTCACCAGCTTTGCCTTGCTTTTCTTCACTCCTCCCTAGTTTTTTTTCTGCTTGGACCTCGAAAGCTCACCCAGTCCAACCCCTGCCGGAGCAGGATCACCAGAGCAGTCACACAGGAACACGGCCAGGGGTTTGAGTGTCTCCAGACAAGGAGACTCCACAACCTCTCTGGGCAGCCTGGGCCATGCTCTGCCACCCTCACACTGACAAAATTTGTCCTCATCTTCAGCTTGAACCTCCTATGCTCCAGCTTGCTCCCATTGCCCCTTGTCCTGGCATTGGACATCACTGAGCAGAGCCTGCCTCCTTCCTCCTGACACTCGCCCTTTCCAAATTGATCCCCATGAATGAAGGCACCCCTCAGTCTCCTCTGCTCCAAGCTAAAGAGACCCAGCTCCCTCAGCCTTTGCCCATAAGGGAGATGCTCCACTCCCTCCATCATCTTTGTGGCTCTGCTGGACTCTTTCAAGCAGTTCCTGTCCTTCTTGAACTGAGGGACCAGAACTGGACACAATATTGCAGATGTGGTCTGAGCAGGGCAGAGTAGAGGGGAAGGAGAACCTCTCTGCCCTACAACCACCCCTTCTCATCCACCCCAGGATGGCGTTGGCCTTCTCGGCCGCAAAGGCACACTGCTGGCTCATGGTCATCCTGCTGGCCACCAGGACCCCCAGGTCCCTTTCTGCTGTCTGTCCATCTTTCTTGCTGTCATCAGCATCCTGTGAGGTGTTTGGTACGCGGTGCCAAGGGCCTCCTGTGGGATGCTGGCACAGGGTGGCGGAGATGCACTGGTGAGCATCACCAGGCCCTCACTGAGCCCGAGCTCTGTGCTCTGCCCCACCTGGACAGACAGGACAGGTTTGCTCTGCTACGCCTGTGCCTCCTCGCCCCGTTCCTGGGTTTCAGTGTGTTTGTTTAGGGAAGTTGCCAGCTCCATGCCAAGGTGTGAAATGATCTCTGTGTTCAGCCAGGATCTCCCTGACAGGCGAGTGGTAATGCAGGGGGGGGAGAGGAGAAGCTGGAGACAGTTTTGCTCAAACAGCCTCAGATATGCACAGCAGAAAAATAGATGTGAAGTGGTGAGGGAGTTGGGAATTGCTCTCCGAAACATGGTTTGACAAAGCAAAGCTGCACATTTCCAAAGCCGCTTGTGTTCCTGAAAACTTGTATTGTGTAAACCCCATCAGTACAAAGAGTCTTGAGCAACACTGGTTCGGATGAGCAATCCCCGAGTACTGAAGCGTTTGCTGCGTGCTTTGGAGCTGAAGTGTAACAAGCTATTGGGGATACAGGTCAAGAGACAAGAAACGTGGCAATGACTTCATATTAGAGTGAAAATCATTCTGTCTTTCATTTTAGAAACCCCTTTTTAAAATGCTAGGAGAGAGATTTTCTAAAGGCATTGGTCCTCCATATGTAGCCAAAGTATGAATTTCCTTACAGGCAGTGCCTGCATTAGCAACTCACTGCTTTCCTGCGTTCAGGAGCAGATGCTCAGCATGATGGGGCTTGCAGCGTATTTAAGCAGTTCCTCTGCAGGGTGAGGTGATAACATTTTTATTAATGTGTAAGGTCTAATAATTTTCCTTGCTTTGGGACCTGGCTCAGCTTGAGCTGCAGGGCACTGTGGCAGTAACAGGCAGCTCCCCCAGGGCTGTATGTGCAATTAGGGAGGACACAATTATCTTCCCATTTAACTGGCAGCGTTTTGAGGACAGGGAGATTGGGTGAACTGTCTGAAGTCTGCGGGAGACTGGGTTTTGGGATGAGGGGGTATCAGGGTGCACCCCCTGCCCAGCTTTCCCATCCCAGTGCTCCCCACCGTGGCAGATCAAGGTCCCTTTGAGCTACGGATGCTGCACAGTTGCTCCACCTTATAAAGGGAAATAATTAACACCGCATCCCTCTAACATTTTATGGCATCGCTGAAAATGTGCTTTTTTTTTATAGAGAGCTGAAGGGCAAACAGTCCCTGACCTGCAGAGCGCCCGTTAAAAGCTGGTCCCTCCCTGGCAGCAGGTTTTTCTGTGGTGTTTCTATTCCGACTTAACTAGTAATTAGCCAGAGACGTCAGTACAAGCCGATAACTCACAGGGTGTGCAGCAGCAGTCCCTGTCCTCTGGCCTGAGGGCAGCCTCCTGTGCACAGATGTTGTCCCTATAATATTTGTAACGCGTTTGGTGCTGGATGGGGGGATCACACATGGGGTGGATCAAGATCTAAGTGACCCCAAGTCTCTGCAAGACCCCAGGTTTTCATCTTGCCAACCAGGCTATACTTAAATCATATCAAATCCAGTTCCTCGTGGGTTTGTTAAGAAGTGTGACACACTTTTAATCCTGGGTGCTGGCCCTTGAAGAGCACAGCTGTGCTCCACCATCACACCGTGGGCACAGCAGAGGTAGCTGTGACCCTCCTTGTGCTTTGTTTCGGGGTTTGAATTGGATGGGAGTGTCTCCGGTTTGTGCTTGTGCAATTGCCACAAATCCTGATGTGATGTATCCGCATCCGCTGGCAAAGGGCGCAGTTCCCTGCTGGTGGAGGGCACCTCTCCTCTCCTCCTGCGTTTCTCTTTGAAAATCCCTTTTCTGCCATCAACCAAAAGCTATGACAGACTCCCTCCCATCCACTACGTCTTCTTCCCAAAGGCTGTGTCCTCCTCCTGCCCAATGTGGCCATTAAATGGAGAGGAAAAAGCAAGAAAATATTTCCTAGCACATTTTCCAAGAGAGAGCTCATTTTTGCTGGATTTTACATTATCTTTTGTTTTATTTCCTTTGGCTGTTTTTCCTTCCCCCCCCTCAATGGCATTAGCAACATCACAAAACAGTGGATGCTGTAGCAATGTTTACCCTGTAACTCCCTTCATTAAGCAATCAGGATGATGCTAAGATGGAGTTTGTCCAGGAAGCTTTTCTCATGAGGAGGAGCCTGGTCCTACCAGAGGTTAATCACTTCCCAGAAGATACTCGGTCCATCACAGCCCTGCTCCCAGTGCTTTTGTGCTTGCGTTGCCCTCTAAAAAGGTTTTGCAGGCACTCTCTGTGCCTGACAGCTGAATTAGAAATCAAGACCTGATCTCTGCCGGTTCCAAGCAGTCATTTCCACAAACTGCCAGCTGGGCAAATAGCCCACTTAAGGAAGTACCTGTGGGCTAAACATTTTTCTCTGGGAGCAGTTTCTGCACGCAGCTTGCAGAGAGCAGCAGTGCTTTGGAGGTGGAAGTCACATTGAACGGTGACACTGTCGTATGTGAAAGGAGAAATAGATTTTATTGAGGAAAATTCATTTGGGTGAGGGTAACAGCCTCATTTTGTCATAAACCCAGAGAAAAAAGATGTTAAACTGGTGCCGTTAAAGGCTGGAATATGATTTCACATGTATGGCACACATTTCTGCTGTCATCTGTGTTGTGAGATGCCCAAAGGCCTTGGATAGCTCATTTGTCCAGGACTAAACAACTGTGATATACCCAGAAAGCAGACAGAAAAAAGTATCAGCACACACGTGTCAGCGCTGATCCCTGCACACGTGAGGTGCAGAGTGACCTGACAGGATCGTCTCTCTCCGACACCCTTGGGGTGGCACAGAGGGGCACACACCATGGGAGGCTTAACCACGACCCGCTTGGCAAGCGCTCTGCGTTCCCCCAAATTGTTTACGTAAGGGTTCTGCTTTATTTCTGAGCACCCTGAGGTCACGCCGAAGCAAGATGAGGCTGAGCTATAAACAAAGCCCCAGGCAGGCTGTTAGTTCTCTTTTCTTTGGTTCTTGGGGTTGAACTTGAAATAAACCCTGTTTTAGGGATTGTGAGGATGTGCCTGCCTGGTGCTGTGGGAGAGAGAAGGCTCCAACACGAGGGGCTGGACATGAGAGATGTCACACCATCCCCTCCTGTGCCTCTGTAACAGCCTGGCTGGGCTGGGTGTGGGGTTTTAGTACCTATATGGGGCTCAGGTGGTGAGGACAGCGATGCACAGGTTTATGTGCACGCTATGATCAATGTAAAGGCAAGAAGCAAACGTCAGCACAGCCCTGTCAGTTTGCAGCATCCAAAGCCAGGGCATTTTGCATTCTCCCACCGGGGCAATGCAGATGATGCTGTCTCTGCAGTGGGATGCTGGACTCACCCCTTGTTAGCCCAGTTTCACAGGGAGTTTAATTTAATGGGGGCTGGGAGCTGCTCCCCCTCATGGGGGGTGCTCCATTCCCAGCCTCACGCACAGCGTACGTGATCTCTGCGGCCCCTCTGCTGTCGTTTGCCGAGTGGTTTAATAACTCATAATTAATGCAACTTGCAGCCCCGGTTTAGCAGAGCACACAGTGAGATTTAAGCGCCTCCGAGTGCTTTGTTGTGGCAAGGTTGTAGAGGTGATGCTCACGAGAAATATCTTTGTGCCGACGTTTTGCTTATTCGGTTCTTATTTCTCTTGGCAATGTTTTACGGGATAAACACGGTTCTCAATAGGGGTGGGGAAGGACTTCAGAGAGCATCGTACAGCGTGTTCTTAGCAAACCTTAATGTTAACCAGAAACCTGCTTTGTGTTCCTGGCACCGTAGCCAGCTTGAGTTTTATATCGAACACCCGCAGACGAGCTACAGCTTTCGCTGGTGCTCATCCGAAAGGCGTGCGTTTCCATGGCTCCGGGGTGAAATATTGAGCCTGGCAGCCCCACACAGCGGAGAACGGCAGTGAAATAACCCGCTGTGTCCACGTGCGCCATGGTGCTGGCTCCCATCTGGCTGTGGGATGGCCGATACACCTCACTGGTGGCAGCCAGTGCCATCTCTCCTCTCCCAGTGCAAGAGCCGAGGGATGCGCTCGGTGTCTCTCGGAGCATCATTTTGCAGAAGGGAAGTTTTGTGGGGTCAGCACGTCATCCCTGGATTTGCACCCTTGGAAAGGGCTTGCTGATGTGGTAACAACCATAGTGGGCTGGGGCAGGGCTCCCGCTCCCCTGGACAGCCTTGGGAAACAGTTTCTCAGGTTTCCTTGTCAGAAAAAATTCATCGTGCGCTCTTGCTTCCAGGTTGGGGCTCGCTTGGGTTATTAGCTGTGCTCCCAGATGAAACACTTCATTAAGAGGGAGCTGCAGCAGCTGTAAATAAGCATTGGCAATTCAAGGGCTCTGAAATGGGAAATGACCGCCAGACAAGGGGGGTCAGTGCCACCTTCGCTCATCCAGGGCAATGCAGGACCACAGACCGGAGCCGCCCTGGCTGTGCCTTCAGGCACCTGGGAGACCCTGCGGTGTGGAGCCTCCCGCAGCCACCTTCTGCTGTGATTGCACAGCAAGAGCGTCCTTCTGCTCCAGGCTGAAATTTTCCTTGCAGGAGTTCAGCAGATCTGGAGAATAATGTATTCCTCTCCTCTTCGCAAGCATTTTTTTCTGCGTTTGAAGGCTGTTATTGTATCCCCCTTCTCTAGACTAAACAACCTCTGCTCTTTCAAACTTTCTTCCTAGGTTGTGTTTTCTAGATGAATTTTTTTAGACAAATGGTTGTTGCTGTCCCCTGAACTCGCTGCGGTCAGGCTGGAGCACTCGTGGCTGAACCTTACTGAGGTTTCATGGCTCCACAGAGAGGGGCAGGATCATTTTGTGAGCTTTGAAATCTGGGCCTCACCTCCACTCATAATACTTTACATCTTGCATTGGTGTAAATGTAAAGTTAAGCCTCAGCAAGGCAGGTTTCCTGCTCTGCTATATGGAGAAATGAAGCCGTTGGGTCTAGGGGTGGCTTTGCTGACGTCTCCCGAGCATGGGCTCCGTTGCACCCTGAGCTCCGTGTGCTGGCGGTGGTGGTGTACGTGCTCCATGCTGGATTCCTCTCACCAGCCACATTTTCCCAGCAATTGAAGATTTCAAAATGTGTGTGCTTAATTATAATCAGGCTGTCTGGATGAAACATCCCCTGGACCTAATAATCGCTGATTAAACCTCCAGACATGAGCTGTACGTGGATCACAGGCTCTGTGCCTAAAATTGCTTCCTCCTGTGCTGACCAACACTTCAAAGAGGAAAAGAAAAAGCACTGGCGGTATCTACTAAACCTGTGTAAGCTAAACCTGTGAAGCACTGGCTCTGCCTTTCCCAGAGCTCCCATTTATCGCAGCTTGCTTTACTCCCAGCAAAACGAAAGGCGCTTGGCCACCGCGGCTGCACGCAGCAAGGATGCAGATATGTCTTGCTTAATCTGAAAATATCGTTCTGCTTTTTCCCTGTCTCGGTAGCCTCTCCCCAGATGCTCCTTTTTCTTCTTGCTGGATGCAGGACCGGAGCAGAGAGATGGCTTTGGCAGAGGGAGCCAAAACCCATGGGTGCCATCTGATGAGGCGTGGCACCCATGAGCACCAGCTCACCCTATGCCTCTGCAAGGGAGGATGGGGTCAGCCCCTTCCAAATGATGCTGCCAAAATCCATCTGCTGATGCTGCGGGAGCAACACGCTGCATCTGGAGCTGAGTTTCTGCACAGAGCTGCCGTTGCTTGCTCTTATTGCAGTGAAGAGTTGCATAAATGTCACCGAGGGCTCATTTTCTTTGGCGTCAGCCGTTGTCTGACAGATCTGATTAAGGCCACATTTGGCTGTCAGCGGCCGTGATTCACGCTCAGATCAGCTCCGCTGGCAACCCCGCTGTAACTCCGGTTTTTTGGGAGTTCTTTGCGCATGTTACCGAGTTGGCTTGACAAATGTGTCCTTTTCGAAACAAAATATGGCTTTAACTTCTTTTTTTTAAGCCAGCCTCTCCCTTTTCCTGTGGCATTTGGGGATCACCTTCGCTTTATCTTCCTCTGTAGTCATAAACCCCAGAAACATCCCCATTATCAGCAGAAAAGCAAAGGAGCAGAGACAAGCGGCTGCAGCGGCTGGGACTTGGAGAGCAGAGCCAAATTGTTCAGAACCCAGCAGCGGCTTGTGCTCAAGTGCTAAAGCTCTGCCTGGTGCTACCGAAGGGAGGATTTGGAAAACCTTGCCCATCTTTGCAGGGTCTGTTGATCTTTTTAGGGTTGAGTCCAAAGAAATCATGAGCGGGGTTAGTGACACCAGCCCTTGTTCAGGTTTGGCAGGCAGCCCCTGATGCCGAAGGAGCTGAGCTCTCGATGAAATGAAAGCAGCTCTTGTGAAGGGGAAAAGAAGTTTATTCTTGAATTGTGGGTTGGGTTGTTGTTCTTTTAAATTAATTCACAGAGTCGTAAATTCTTGGGGATTGCATAAGGGCTGTGCGTCATGTTGAAAATCCTGCTGATGGTGCACAGCTCTCCGCGTTCGGTCTGCGCGGGGAGGTTGTCGGAGAGGGATGGGGAGGAGAGCGCCAAAGCAAACACTCTGCGTTTGATTTGGGATGAACTGGATTTCCTTTGAAACGGCTTGCGAAACGTTGTCCTGGGCCTGCAGTGCAAGTGCCGACTGCTGCCAGTTGTCAAACCAGCACGGAGATAGTCAGAAAATAGTCAGGAAACATCCAGAAAACAGGCCAAGGACTAGGGTGGTGTGGGGTGCATTGAGTTTCTCATTGATGGGCAGGTGCTGAGCAGACACCACACTTCTCTCTGCTGGGTGAAGGCTTTTTTGACTGGAGGAAAGTGCCTTGCAGGAGCTCAGGGCTGGCTGGCGCATGGGAGAGACCCTGTGGGCCACCTTCCCAAGCAGCCGGGAAGCCCATCAAGCCCATCAGGCTGGGGCTGCTGTTCCTGGCTCCCTGGATATCTGCAGGGATAGCCTGACCCTCCTGCCATCCCGCTGAATTTGGGGAGCTCCAGCCAGACCCTCTGGGGTGTTTCCTCACCTCCTGGGAAACCTGCTTGCATGCACTCACCCAAGGCTGTGCCTTCAGTCCCTCCGCAGGTGTCATTCGGGGGACCCATGTGTGGTGACAAGGCCGAATTAGTCAGTGGCCCCATTTTCAGCTGCCCCTGACATTGTTCTGTCCTTCAAAACACGTTGTCGTTGCACAAGGTGTGGGTGCAGGATCATGGCACCCTAGTTATCACAGTGCAGGAGGCCTCAGGTTACCTCTGACGCATAATTTCTCACTGGCATCGCTAGTTATTCCTATCGAGTCACAGACAGCGTAGACATATGGGGAAGGAAGTCGTGAAAAGCAACTTGGAGTCCAACTCGAAACACCTTAAATTGGTGTGATTTCCCCAAAGGAGGAACTGCCTGCTTTTTAAAAAAATATATATATATCCTCTTGAAAGGGCTCTTCAGGACAGCATTTAAACCACTGAGTTATTTTTTAAAGCAGTGTCTTGGGCCAAAAGCAGCCTTCTGCCTGCATCGCTGCTGATAGAAAATTCTCCTCCTTAACTCTCTTTTTTTCCTTCCTTTCCCCACAAAGGCCTCTCTGCAGACGGCGGAGCCAAGCGCCAGGAACATCTCTCCAGGTTCTCGATGCCTGACCTGAGCAAAGACTCAGGCATGAACGTCTCAGAGAAGATGAGCAACATGGGCACCCTGAACTCCTCCGTGCAATTTCGAAGCGCCGAGTCAGTCCGCAGTCTGCTGTCGGTGCCGCAGTACCAGGACATGGAGCCCAACCTGCACGGCCTCGCCAGCCCCCTGAGCTACCGCGAGCGGCTGGCGCAGCACGGCCGGATGCACCAGAGCTTCGACTACGGGAGCGGAGTGCCCGGGGGCAAGCTGGGGGCGCAGGAGGCCTCCAGGCACACCCCCATGAGCGAGCGCACCCGCCGGCGAACTAACCTGCGAGACGACGACCGGCATTACCGCCCGCACCGGCCCCGGCGCTCCCGGCGTTCCCGGTCGGATAACGCCCTGCACCTGGCCAGCGAGCAGTGCTGCCGGCTGAAGGAGAGACCCTCGCTGCGAGCCAGGGAAGACTACGACCAGTTCATGCACCAGAGGAGCTGCAGAGAGACGGCGGAGCAGGGTCCCCGCAGGGATGTCTACGGCCACTGTCCCCGGACGGTGTCGGATCTTGCCTTGCAGAACCACTTGGGTGAGAGATGGGGGCCCTACTTCGCCGAATACGACTGGTGCTCCACCTGCTCCTCCTCTTCGGAGTCCGACAATGAGGGCTATTTCCTCGGGGAGCCGATTCCCCAGCCCGCCCGCCTCCGGTACGTGACCAGCGAGGAGCTCCTGCACAAGTACGGCTCATACAGCATGCCCAAATCCTCCACGCTGGGCGGCAGGGGACAGTTGCACAGCCGGAAAAGACAGAAGAGCAAAAACTGTATCATATCCTAATGGCGTCCTTGCCCGGCACCTTGGGAGAATGTAAATTAACTCACAAACTTGCACTGTTTTAGATCATGTAAGCGCTTTTATTGTAACAAAACAGACCTGAAGAGTAGGGATTTGTAAGAAGGTTGTAGACTGGCTTCTAGAAATAGTCCTAATCCTGGGCACGGCGAATATATTTTGCACATCTTACTTTGGAGGAAAGAAACAAAAAAGCTCACTTTAGCCTGTAATATTTACCCAGTAGTTTTCCCTCTTTCTCCCAGATACTGCCACCCCTTTGAGTTCTGTTTGTCCCCATGTTTTGGTTACCACTGTTGACTCTCAGCACCAGTTTGCCGGTAGCTTTTGCTTTCTGTCACGTTTCTGTTTCCCATTAGCCACGTTGGTAGGTGATTCGTCTCTCTCAGACAGTGTGGGAGCCTAAGTTATTTCCATGATTGTTGTAAATGCAGTGTAAATGAGAGTTTGGAGAAAATATTTTTGTATTTTGTAATATCAGAGGAATTTCTATATCTTAGGAGTCACTGGGAAAATGCATGCACATTCAGAGTTGTTTTCAGCCCCGGTTAACCAAATGGTACTTTGGACACCCCCTTCCATTTCATCATCAGATTTCTTAGGTATATCAGTGACAGTTTGAGTTGGCATTTGTTTTGGTTGGGTTTTTTTCACCCTTTTTTCTGTTTGTTTGTTTCATTCCTGGTAAATAAAGAGAACATTTCCTTACTCATTAAATCTTGAAGAGGCCTCGGTGGCATTTTGAAGTCTGCTCCCGCAGGTACGATCCATCAGTCAGATACAGGAATCCTGACAGCTGCAAAAGGGACCTTTTCTTTTTAATCGTTATTAAATAGGAAAGAACAGATCTACCAAATGTCTGCAACGTTGTAAATGACCAAAGCCAGAGAAGGAATTTTACACCTCTGTAGAGAACGCTGAAGTTACTAAACGTTGAACTATTATTTGGAGTAAATAAAAGTGTAAATGGTGCAGTTGTGTGATGTCAGCATGACGTTGTTTTGAATATAGACTTGTCTTATGGTGCTCTAGTCTCCTGGGTTATGTTAACTGCTGTTCATTACCAAGTGGAAGTCTCAGTATTGCCTACTGCCTAACACATAAAGAACGACTGCAAAACTGCTCCCCGCGGGTCTGATCCTGCCCTGGTGCAGCACCCTCTTTCCCACTGAGGATGCTTGTGGCCATGGGGGGCTCATCCCCAGGGTGGGCTCAGCCCCTGCCGGCGGAGATGGGACGGCCCCACAGCGGCCGTGGTGGATAAATAGGGCTCAGCCATGTTGTGTTATGGTGGATGTGAGTTTGTTCTCTGTATGCTTTCAACCATTGGGGTACTGCTCTCCCGGGGATTGTGAGCCAATGCTGGGTTGTATCCCGGTGCTCCCTGAGAAGCTTTGCAAAAGGGGCTCTTGGTACCCAAAGATGCAGGTCAGTGCCTGGGGGTGTTAAGATAAAGCTGGGCTTGGAGCTGTAGGAGGGCTGAGAGGCTTAACCAGCTCCATGGCCCTCATCCCAGGCGCTTTTGGCATCTCAGGGTGCCCCTGCACCCCCTGCCCTGCACCCCGGGAAGGAGGGTCCCGCTGCAGGGCACCCCTGGGCGCACACAAGGATGCCCCTGGTGCCTACTCAAAGCAGCAGATGCAGAAAAATCTTGAAGATGGATGTCTCCATACCACAGAACTATTGCTAGGAATTTTTTTTGTTGTTTGTAAAGGACAATGTGATAATTATTATTCCTTTAAAAAGTAAAAAAAAAGAAATTACACTTAAGTATATTTAAAAAAAAATGTTTTTTCCAGTTGGAATAAATGGAAGTATTCATCCAATGGGCAGAGTCTCACGTGTATGTTTTTGTGCTTTTAAGGAGTGTTGGTTAATTGTGAGCAGAAAAATTGATTTTCGTTTAGCTGGTCTTGCAATGAAAGCACAAGAACCAGCTCAGCCCCATCCCTGAGGTGGTTTTGGTGGGCAGGGAAAGGCAACAGAGGAGCATCTCCTGCACACCATGCGTGTTCCCCTGGGTTGGTCACCCAAGCCCCTTTTTTGGTGTTAAAAATGCCAAGACTTCACCTGGTGGAAGTCAGCACAGCTCAGCCAAAATCCCCCACAGGCCTCGAGCTTACGCTGGGGAAGACTTCAACCTGTAATTTATAAATAACAGCCTTTGCCTTAGAAAGCTCACACATCTCTCCATGTTTTCCTAAACAGACTTGGTGAGTCGGGTAGGGGTATTGCTTTCAGCAACAAGTATGACACTAACTACAGGTTATCATGTAATTGGCATTTAATATGTACGATTTAATTCATTGCCAGTGATTAGCAGCACAATGAATGTTGTCTGTCAGCCCTGGTACAGCTGAGCTGTATTTTCTATGGCGAGAGCCTGAATCACTCAGCACTTTTCTCCCTATAACTGCTTGCTGTCTCTCCCCAGAGGTAGCATAACAGGCTTTAAAGACTCTTTTGAAGGAGAATTGCTTGCAATTTTGTACCAAAATCCAAGGCCCCCGTGCACAGGACAGGCTCACTGCTGGAAGCGGCTCTTCAAAATCCAGTTCTCGCCAGAGAGCATCCCTGCATCCCTCCTCCTGTGGTACCCAGCTTTAATACGATGCTAGAATGGGAACAGACAGGCAGCAAATTGGGGAGCTGAAAGTATCGCAGGTGATGCTCCCCTCACCCTGCACCAGCCCTACAGAAAGGGCTCAGATCACATCATGTAAGGATGGCACAAATAACAAGTCTATATCAACTTCAGCAATAAAAGTGCAAACGCAGCTTCCAGACCTTTTTTACTTTTCATTTGGGCTCCAGAAGTCCCATACACTTCAAGACACATGGTTATTAAAATAAATAAATGCTCCTTTTTTTTCTTTCACAGCCCGTTCCGGGTATGATTAACCATTTCTGACAAACCCACTGAGCTGGAGGGATGGAGCTGCAAGGCTGTCAAGTTTTGCTCCGTCGCCATCTGGCCCCGCTGGTTCACCTCTCTGCACTCACTGTGCACGGGAGCGGGGGGCACGTACAGCCCTCTGCTTTCACATCTCCAAGAACCAAGTAAAGGTGATGCCACCAAAAGCATTTTTTTCCCCCTAAAAAGAGTTCTTGGCAAGAACCACCCAGTGTGACACCAGAGGGTGGCCTGGCTCTGAGGGGAGCTGTGGGGGGGTCTCTACAAGGCCCCCTCCATCACCCGAAATGCTCTGGCGTGGACAGTGTGTTGGCCCAAAAACTGCTGGAGCAAGGGAAGCTTCCAGCACCTTGGGAAGCCAAAAGCCACACAGCCTTGAGCCTGTGCAGACAAATTGTAATCACTTTAGCCAAGCCTCTGCAGAAAGACATAGAGATAGGAAGTGTGAGGTTAGAAATAGTCAGAAGCTGAGCTGGCAGATAATCCCATATTTGCAAAGGCCTCCACAAACACCACTGAGCTCATGGGAGCAAGCGAGGGTGTGAGCAGCCCCCGCTGCAGGGTGCGTACCAGCCCAAAGTGCTCGGTGGCTTTGAAAACCCAGCTGCTTGTGCAGCTTAAAGACAGCAGCATTGGGTGGCCGTTTACTTAATGAGGGCAGTTAGATGAAGGCTGAGGGCTGCTGAGAGATAGACATGCATTTAGGGCCGCAATTTAATATCCCCAAAAAATGCCTGCACCAAACCTGGCACTGCACTACCCCAGCCTCCTCCCCAGCTGATCTGGTCTCCTGGGCTGGGAGCTGCGGTGTTATCTGATGAACTTTGCTCTTTCAGGCTAAAAAAGAAAATAAAGAGCCCCATTCTTTGCATTTACATACAATTACACTGTTCCTGAAATCCAGGCTGTCCTCATTCTTCTGGAGCTTATCTGCCCCCTATTAGCTGATCGTCCTCCACAGCCAGGGGAAGCTCATTAGGTAAAAGTGATTTCAGAGGACTTTATTTTAAAGATTTATTCTTTCATGCAACACATTTTCAACCCAGATCCTTAAAACTATGTAGGAAATCAGCTCCTGTTTGAGTGCGAAGGAAATTGGTGGCCGAGGGTGCTAAGGGCCATGAACAAGTCACTGGAGAGCTGCGTCCTGTTTCCAGAAGCATCTGCAAGCTATCAGTTTGAAATACCAATGCATTTATAAACTGTAACCAATGATAACATTTTTGTTCTTGTAAAGCCTGGATCTTAATTAACCTCTAAAGTGGGAGCCTTGTTAACCAGATCTCATTTCTCCATCTCCCATGAGGTGCTGCCAAGCCCCCAGCCCTGCTGGGACACCTAGAGCTGACTCTTCCCACCCTGGCATCAGTGCACACAAGTTCACCACCCCAGGCACTTCCAGTAGTGATTTATGACCTACACCAGCATGGTTTGATCGGTTCCCTTTGCCTTTCTCAGTGTGAGCTCATACCTTTCCATATCTTTTTAAACTGGCTGCAGACTCCGGGTGGTTGAAGAGTGTCAGCTCCGCAGCCAGAGCGCTCACCATGCAGAGTCTGGCACCTGCCTGAGTCTCCTTTTGGAAAGATCTTCCCGCTTTCCATGGCTAGTTCAATATTTTGTAAGATTGAAAGAAAGAAAACAAATAAATAAATACATTAAAAGCTTTTATCACTAAGCAGGTGCTGCTTATGCTGCCAGCATCATCTTCATCTGCCTCCTGGCTTCATCCTCAGCAGGGAGGAGCGGAAGAAGCCAAGTCATGACTTAAACCCCCCGATGGCACAGTGTCCCTTTGGTCAGGGACCAGAGACCCCTTATCTATGGCTCCACCTTTCTGCTGCTTCACTTCTTATTAATAACTCGGCAGATTACCAGCTTCCTTGTTTTAGGCAAACCCACAGTCATTTGCTAAAGCATTCTCAGGGGAGTTTTCCCGTTGCAAAAGCAAATATTTATATCTGCTGTGCTCTTAGAGGCTCTGGATATGATCAACTCTTAAAGCAAGATTTAGCTGAAAGAGCTGATTTATTAAAATGGATAAACAAAGCCCTGTGAAGCAAGTTAATTCAGTCTAAATAAAGCATTAAACTCTGAAGAGCACACATCAGATCACAGTATACGCATACATACACATATATATGTGTGTGTGTATATATAAATACACATATATAATTCATACAATCAAATACGCAGTCCTCCAGGCTGGGATCTCGTATCAACATCAGGAGAAAGCTGGCCCTGAGCCCAGCTCTGTGTATATT